GATTTAGGGATAGGGTATTTCCTTAAGAACATTAGTTGGGGTATTCAACTGTGGCAAGGGAGTTGCCTTGTCTAACATTTATGTCTTAATTTGTCAACCAGGATGTCAGTTACCCACATACATGTCTCTTTCTGCCAAGTAGGATGTCAGTTCCCAGGGAGGCCTTGAGAACTTAAACTTTACTAGATCACTACTCAAAATGGAAGTCTTACTCCAAATAGTTTCCTATATTGGTGCAGCTGTCTCTCTGATGTAGGGGTCTACCCCAGGGGCAGCTTATATCACAACAGCTGATATACAGGGGCAGGAAGTGCTGTTGAGTCATTGGTTCGGCTCCAAGCTTATTGTGGACAACAATACAAAATAGTTCTATTGGTTTCCAAGGGCATAGAACATACCAGAATATGTAATCAATCTTGGCATTAGAAAGTTTCCTAGTAATAGCAGAAACATATGAGAAAGTTTCCTTGTAATGACAGACTAACCAAGCAACTGTTACCTAGGCCTTAACATTCCATCTAGGCCTTAATATTTTACCAAGGCTTTAACACTATCTGTTCAAGTTCTGCCTGCAGTGCTAGGGCTATCAGCTAAAAACAATAAGGGGCATCGGAAAAAATAAAAATTGATTATTCTTGAAGTGAACTTGGGTCTTTTGTCTCGGTCTACATCCCCCTCCTATCCAGATCCGTGATAGCATGGCTGTGCTTACTACAGCACCTAAATCCTTTCGAAAGGCATGCAAGAGTCTATGTAGCCTTGTCTGACTTAGAACTCACTAAGTAGACTGGCCTGACCTTGAATTTGCTTCAATCCTCCTGCCTCTGCTTCCCTTAAGATTACAAGAAGCTGGGTGGATTCACCACACCTGGTTTCTAATAAATCTAAATTCTAACCATCTTAAGTCTACCCCAAAGCCAAACCTGCCAGTGTCTTCCTTAAGCATGGATCTGTCTGTATTGGGCCCTCTAATCATTTTACGTTTTAAGCACACTAATCATTTTAAGCACACTCAACCTACTAAGAATAAATAAGAATAAATTTAGTGTTGAATGCTATGTTTCTCAGGAGACTGGTGGGGTTTGTTGCCAGTGTCTGCATGTTGTAGGAGTAGAGAAAGCAGTGTGTGAGTGAAGTGCCTGAGTGAAGTTGAGTTTGGATATTAATGGGGACACAGCCTTGAGAAAGACTAAGGCCTCAGAGCCATGGCACATTGGCAGAGCCATTTCCCCATATGGGTCAGGCTTCTTCGAGACCAAACCAGAAACAATATGCCTTGCAAGTTAATGGGAGACCAAAACAGGAAAACTATACCTCGAAGGTTAAGGGTTCTGTTGCAGATAAGGCAGTTGAGAATAGGTTACTGTTTGTCCTGTGTTAAGTCCATGCAAGTTAAGGTTTCTATTTGTAATGAAGAAGTTCCTATTCCTTAGATATGATGTAAACTGCCTGCAACCCCATTCATATGATTCATTGTATCCTTCTAACAATGTATACCAGCCAACTGTCCCTCCCCTGTAAACATCTTAGCTCTCCTATAAAGGGAGGTAAGAGGCCAGCAGCAGCTGCTTTCTCAAATCCTGACTTAGGGCTAGTCCCAAGTGCACCCCAAAATACAGCATGCTTTCCTTAGACAATCATGGACTTAGTCTTTTCTCCTCCTTATTCTCAGGTTTAACATTTCTTCTTTTAGTCCAAGTAGAAGCTCTTATAAGAAATAACTGCAGCTTCCTCGCCCTCCTGGATTTTTATAGCTAGAGTTTACTCCCCTACAGAGACCTCCTACAGTTGGGGTTCAGGAATTGCCACACAAATCACATGCATATTGATCTCAGTTAAATAAGAATAGGTTATTGAACACACACCCTAATACTGGTCAGACCAGGGACATAGTTCAGAATTATCTGAACTATGACAACAGGTATCTTTTTCTATCATCTCGTAAAGGAAACCAAAATAAAGCAAAACCACAATGAGCTCATACACTCTGGTGCAGGAAGTGCTGTCCGGTGGTCAGCTCTGACTCAACATATTTTAGATAGAACAGTTCATATTGACCTTTGATTTAATGGATCCTATGTAAAGCTTTGTGGAATTTCTTTAGATTAGCAAACCTCATACAGAACATTCAGAACATATAGAACAAACTAAAATATGTGGTCAGCGGGTCCTTGCTCTGAGCCAAGTCACTTCTCTGTGTCAATGACTGGCGGGCATGTTACAGCAACAATATGAAATAGTTGGCAAGTATGGAACAAAATGGATACAGCTATTCTGGGAGTAGGGGATGAGACCATAACACTTACCATAGAGTCTAAGTTACCCTTCACCCTATGCTGCACCTAATAAACATTCCGAGGTTCTGAACTGCCTGCTAGTAGGTGTCGTTCCACTAAAGTGAACACATCTCTACTGGCCCTGCTTTTCTGTACCCCTGTCTATGTGTCTGTCCTTTCTCTGTTCCATTACTGACTCTAGTCAGGGTTCCAGGACCCACATCTTGAGAGAATACATTGTCCAGGTTAGTCCTGAACATTTATGCTTTAATGATACTCCTGAGCAATAGATTTAAGGACAGGTAACCTCTGAGTTAGCACACATTGCATGCAAAGAACATATACTAAATACACATCTGTACTTCCACTATTGTCTCAGATACCTAGGTCATCTCAGACTCTAATTTCCAATGCTTCCCATCTACCTAATTAGGCAGCAGTCTTGTCAGTCTTTGTAATTTCTTTTTAATTCCCAGTGTTTATAGTCTTGAGTCCAAGAATATGGCTACTTTATATCTGTATTAATAACTTTCTAACGGATCACTGAAGCTCTAGAATCCTCCCAGTCTGATTTTACTCTCCAAATTAACACTTCAGTTGTCTTAATAAAATTTCTAGTCTTCTGGGGTTAAATCTTTATTGCATTCCTCTGCCGTGAAGGCATTTAACTTGAAAGACTTTGATAGGAGAAGACAATGCAGAGGTTCTTCCATCTTGTATTCTTGCTGACACCATTTCAGATTTAACTAGAATCTGATCTCCTTGATGGAGAATGCCTTAGGAACCCAAAGTCAAGATTTCCCCATCTAACTTACCTTAGCTTCTATTAAACTGCTTGCTTATTGCAAACCTCCCCCTCCAGCCAACTGCTTATTCTAGCTTCTTGTGCCGGACTCCCTCCAGCTAACTGATTATCTTAGTTTTTGATAAATTGTTTACCCAAAATGCTCCCTTGCAGCTTCTGAAGGATATGCCAAGACATGGTTTTTGTGTGTTCAAATACCCCATGCTCTGGGCACTCCATGCTACACTTAGGGACTGAATACCTGAGTGCAGTCATCTGCTCCATGATTGTAAAAAGGCTTTCAACTGGGCATAAATTGTGTCTCAGAGGTCATCTTTGGTGGGTTCTTAGCCTTAATTTACCTTCCTGGTCACACCCCTAGCTCCACTCCATTCTAGGAAGCACGCTTTGTTCACTCTCTAGCTCAATCCCATGCTGTCAGAATACCTTCCCTCTTCTTGTCATGGACTCATTCCTTCCTACAACAACCTTCTTCCTTAATCTGCAACAACCTTAGAGCTTACTCATTTGACACAATGTTTTAAGCTAGGTACAGCTAAGTACACTGTAACATCCCCACCCAGGAGGTGGAGGAAGAGAAAAATCACTGCAAGTTCAAGAGCAGCTTGTGCTACAGGATTTAATCCAGCAAGGACTCCCATGCCAAGATAGCCTGCCCAAAAAACAAATAAATGGGGTACTGTCCATTGCTCTCTTCCCAAGGGAAAAGTCAGGGATACTGTTTCCCATTAAAGCATTTGACTTATTTGGGCAATTGACACTTGCTAGGGCTAAGGAAGTCTCTATGTCTAGAAATGAGCTCAAGTTTGATTGTAGAAGGATTTCTGGTGGTTGGATAATAGCTCGCATTTCTTCAGGAACTTGGGAAATGGGTTTCCTGTGCCCAGAAGGAGTCACTCCCCTCAGCTACTAGTCTTCCTTATCGTATAAAGTAAGAACATGATCGCTCCTAGGTATGGTCGAAGGAAAGGTTTTTATTGTAGATATGAGGGAGAGAGGCATCTGGAAAAAGTCCAGAGCAGGGAGAGAGTGGTACACTGAACATGGCCAGCAGAGTGAACTGGGCCATGAGAGGATGGATTAGGAGAGAGCAAAGGGGGGAGGGAGAGAGGGGGCAAGCATGCTGTGGTCAAGAGTAAGAAGCCCAAGAGAGCACATAGATGACATTGCAGGGTCATATAGAATTGAAGCTGGGGGAAGGGAAGGCCATGACTGGAGGAGCTTAGGGTAGAGGGCAGAGTGAGAAGGCTGTGAGGAGCCGCAGCTACTGAGTGAGCCCGGAGGCCACAGACGGCCGTCTGTCCAGTTACTTTTGGACCTGACAGAATTTGCAAGATTTGCTCATCCCCTGCTCTCACACCCTGCCTGTCTTGCAGACTGCCCCACCCACGCCCAGTCTACCCTCTCTGCTTCGGACTCTTCCAGATGCTTCTGGATTCTTTTCCCTATCTCATTCACAATAAAAACCATTCCCCAACGAAGGGACTACTTCAGTGGTTTCTGAGCTAGGCCTCATGTCCTACAACACCCACTGTTATTATCACATTGTTTCCTGCCCTGTTGGAAGAATCCAAGAAAGTCAGGCCCAAAGTTGCAAGCCTGTAATTCCAGCTACCTAGAAGACTGAAGCACAAGGATTACAAGTTCTCAAGTCCAGCCCAGGCAATTTAGTGGGAGATCCTATCTCAAAATATCTCAAAATACAAAGTAAAAAAAGACAGCTAGGAATATAATTCAGTGGTAGAGCACTTAGCATTTGTGAGACTCTAGGTTCAATTTCCAGAACTACCAAAAACCTTTTTAAAAAGAAATTGGCCATCCCAATGACAGAAATGATTTTCATCCTCCCCAAATAAGACTACCCAAAGCATTTTGTTATGTACACTCAAAGCATTTTTACTCATCATTCTGTCTGCACCTCAGAAGCATCTCTGGTGTACAATGTTGGGTCCAACTTCTTTGAATTCTGCAGCCGTGATCCACATGTCTTGGAAGGCAGACAAGGATGCAAGAATAGACCCCCCCATCCACACTGATATTTTCCGTTCCGGGGGAGCTATAACCTGCACGGTGGTATTAGCAGGTGCCATCTTTGCCACATCCTTAATGAGTCGCTTATCTAAACCAGGAAAAGACGTCGACCCTCCCGAAAGGATGATATTGGAGAAGAAGGAGCTCCTGAGATCTGCGTCACATTTCATTATGCTGCTGAAGCACATCTTGTCAATGCCCGGAGCGTCAACATTCAGAAGATACGGAGAGAAGAGGGCCTCTGGGCAGCGGAATACCTGCTTATGGAGCTTGACAGTCTTCCCATCGGGCAGGGTATATATTTTCTCTAGGCTAGACTCCTTGGTCATTTCCTCTTCATAGTTCATTGCCACATAACAAGCATTCTCCTTAATGTCTGCAACAATCTTCCTGTCCCCAGTTCTAAGCAGCATGATACCATCATCCTTCAACAACATCATGAGGTGGCTGGTGAGGTCAAATCCTGCCACATTTAGCTGTTTCACACCATGAGATAGGCAGTAACCCTCAAAGATGGGCACACACTGAGTAATCCCGGCACCCGAGTTCAGCACCAGGCCAGTAGTAAAGCCAGCAGCAAAGAGAGCCAACACAGCCTGGACAGACATATAGAAGGCAGGGACTCCCAGATTTTCAAAAAACACTTCGGAGATGTGCTGCCGGTCTGCCAATGGGTTCAGCGCAGGCTCTGTAACCAAGACCGGGCCATCACTGGCGTTCAGGTTCAGGTTATAGTCATAGATATGTTTCCACATGATCTCCATGTCCCCCCAGGAGGAAATGAGACCCCGTTCCACTGGATAGCTGGAGAGAGAACAAAAAAATATATGTCTTGTGCTTTTACGGTTGTTGCTAGTGGTGGTTTTTGGATTTGGCTTTAAAAGTATTATTATTACTGTCACTATCACTATCATTACTATTATATAGTTGTTTTGAGAGAGTCTCACTATGTTGTCCTGGCTAGGTTAGAACCCATGACGCTTGCCTCCAGCACTCAGGAAGCAGACAGGCAGATCTCTAAGTTTGAGGCCAGTCTGGTCAACAGAACGAGTTCTAGGGCAGCCGGGCTACACAGAGAAACCCTGTATCAAATAAATAGACAGACAGACAGACAGACAGACAGACAGACAGATAAAACAAATTCAGTATGCAAACCAAGCTGGCCTGGAACTCACAAATTCCCTTGCCTTTGGCTGATTAAAGGTGCAGGGTACCATTCCTAGACAGACGCCTTTAACACTTACCCTTTCTGCTCTTTTTCATCTAAAGGGAGTATTTATCATTATTGTTTTCTGTCAGTGACAAGGTAACTTCCAGTAAACAGCTACTTTTCTCTACTGTCATTTTGCTTGGCCATTTTTCTCCTCCTTGGAGAATGTGACTTTAAAAAGTTGGAAACTTCCCACGTTCTGGTATAGTTGTAAATAGTTCAAGAGGCCACATCCCGTGACAAAAGTCATACATCAAGTCACATTCTTACGCAGGAATGTCTAGCACGAACGGTCACTATATGTCTGAATAAATTTGTGTACAGAGAACAGAAGTTTTTTGTAAGGAGTGGGTGGCTGATCCTGGTCCTGGGGTGGCTTTAGCTCTGGGCTCTCCGCCCATTTCCATACAGACCCGGCCTGCAGCATTCCGCGATACCTGATGGACAAGAAGCTCCTGCGCTCCTGCGCTTGGTCACCCACACACAGCTCCTGCCTGCTGTCCATCGCAGTGCCCTGGCCCTTTGTCCGGCCCAGAATATTCGGATAGACGAACTGGGGTTCCCGGGTCCCAGCCAGGCCCGCCTTGATCATTCCCGAGCCGTTGTCGATCACCACTGGTGGCTGGTAGCCGCTCATGCCGCCGGTGCTGCTGCATCTGCGCCTCCGGGCCGCTCCTCCCGGGCTATGCGGGGACAGGTGCCTGTAATGTCGCGTCATAGAGGACCCTGCCATCTGCTGGCCTGCATGACACGCGGTGCCTCCTGAGACTGCTATCCGTGGGTTGAGCGTCACTGCTGCCTCTGGAAGCTCTCAGCATTAATACCAGAAAACCGGGTTTCTCTTGCAAAACATAGAAATCTAACATTTTACAAGGGCCTTTCTCAGACACTCTGAAAAGCTATTAAAAAAAAAAAATCCCCTCAAGTCCTTGAACTCTAGTTAACAGGAGTATTCCAGGGCCAGTGGGAAACTGGAGGAAGGCTCTTGAAACCCGGGATGGACCTGGGAGTATATTGTTGCAAGAAGGTTCTGCCTGGCTTCTGTAAGGATCAACTTCAGGGGTTGCTGGGGTGTGAAATGAGTTTGTGTTCTGTATAGTAAACAATGTTACATCTTTCCTGTAGTTTCTAAACATGTACACCAAAAGGCAAAACCTTTTGGGTTTTGAAAGGTGTTGTTCCCCATTTTAGTACAGGCTGGTCTCAAATTCAGCGTAATTCCCCTCTTCAGGCTCTGAATTCTGGGGTGATCAGCTCCCCTCCTTCCTCCCTGTCCTTTCTCCGTTCTCTTTCCTTTATTTCCTTCTTTCCTCCCTTATTTTTTTCCTCATTTCATCTTTTTCTTCATCTTTTTGGATTATATCTCTAGGGCCTTCGAAGCTATTTTTCATTTCCCGGGTAGTTGATATTTTAGAAATAATAGCACGTCTGCCACTTGGTAAGAATATAAATGCCTTAGATCATTATGAAGTTCAGTTCAGAAAAAAAAAAAGTACATTGCGCGGCAAAAATGAGCGTCTTGGTGTCTGATTTCGCGGGTCCCTTAGGGGCTTTGAAACAGTACGCAAATTAGAAGCTTTGGTAGATATTTCGAAGCCGGATGGGGAAAAAAAGTAATTTATACGTCTTCCCACCAGAAACCGGCTGAAGCACGGTTCTGCGCCATCTCAGGAAAACATAACCTGCCGGAACTGAAGAAAAAAAAAAGGAACTTGGCCAGGAACTAAGTTTGCCGGGCTTTTCAGAGAGAGGGTAGAGGGTAGAGGGTAGAGGGTAGAGGGTAGAGGGTAGAGGGTAGAGGGTAGAGGG